GCTTTGCCACTACAAATGACACCTTTCATATTGCACAGTCTTTTGATCCACTGTTTTTATAAAAATATTGATTAGTTACACCTTTTGCTTGGATGATCTGATTTGTGTGGGTACAACATTTAAGTTATATAGATCTATTCAGATAACAAAACAGCATGCAGAATTTGTACAGGTGATTTCTTTCAATCATCTTTACGCAATCTGTGTTTTAGCCTGAACTTAACAACATCTTGGAGGCTTCATGTCCATGTCAAACTTTGCTTTATATGCCCAACCATCCACCCTGACATCCTCTATTTTAGAGTAGAAAGAATGTCACACTTTCTGGTTTGGAAAACATGTTGCAACTGAACATAACCCAGCAGCAATTATGTTTCCTCTAGAGTATTTGGCAAAGCACATTAGGAGTATATAATCCGAATCAGAATTATGTATTGTTCACATAGCTTATTTGATCATATTTTTTCTTATGCTGTTTATCTTGCTCAGGTGAATGTTGTCTATGTAAAATATAATTTGTACATAACAGCTGAGGCTCAGCACTGCTTACGTTCACTTCAGTAAATCTGTAATGGCCTACAGTCAGCACAACTGTGATGCATAGGGTCGGATCTCTGTGCATCCTCATTAAGTGGCTGCTGAGCCAGAGGGAAAGTATGTGGGAAGACGTGAAAGAAGGAGAGAGACACAGTTGAAAACTAAACAGTAAATGAAAGATTTTTCCCAAAACAAGGAAACACTTCTCCGTCTCTGGAGAATTTCATGGTGGGATTAGTGCAAACAGCTGCTCACTCACGTACTGAAAGGCTTACCATACCAAATAGATAACAGCCATTTCCCCGAGGCGTAGACCAGCCTTATACCAGAGCAGCAGGTAAAATAATCCCCCTTACTGCTGAGTTAAAAAGTCTTGACACTGTGCACATAAGCGCTGCATTTAGCCTAATCCTAAACTTCACCCTGACACAAGTGCTACAAGAGTTTCTCATAGATTTCAACAGGCACAAGAAAAACTTAATTTGCTCATATGGTCGCCTGGCTGGAGGAGGAACTGCGCTGGCCTAACAACCCCAAGATCTTTATCATTATCCATCTTCTGTCCTGTAAATCTTCTCTGCATCTACAGAAAATCTGTGGTGATACAGCACGGTGGCCCCCCCAGGTCTCACTCTGGACCATAAAGCATTGCAAGCCATCGATTGGTGCTCCTGAAGAGCTGATAACAGTCGGAATATGGGGCGATAACCCTTGAATGTTGCTGATGGTGGTCAGTCCAAATGGGCCCATTATGCAGCCTCTGTTATATGATACTGCCAGCTTCCTACTCATTCCACTTGAAATACTTTACAAATTCTTCATCCATCACAGGAAGTCACACTTTGGTAAAATGGGAGAGGTGTACCAAGATACTTTGAGGAAGTACTTTTAGGTTTTTACTGAACTAATCTGCCTTTAGATTGTGTTTGCCACTGTCTGGGCTCTGAAAGCTTTTCCAAAACCAAAGGCTCCATTTATTACCTCAATTGCTTCCTTAGATTTATCAGATTTCATCATCATCCGAATTGCTCTTTCACTCTCTTTTTCTCCAGTCTATTTCACTCTCTGCAATGCAACGACTCTCTTGTGGACTGTTATAGCTACTTGCAGAATAAAAATGTTTTCTAGTATAATATAGATTTTTTCTGACATGCTTCCTAATGCCTTGCTCCTGCCAGACTTAGTCAGAATTGCCTCAATTTAAGCCACTGGCCCTGCAGAGCTTTCCTTACTTCTTTGCAGCATAACTTCACTGAGCCAAAGCGTTTACCATGGGGAGACATGTACAGTGCATTGAGAGTGAAAGCGAGCGATAGGTAGCCAGGAAAGGTCAGCCCCTCGCACTGACTACACAGCACACAAGTTCAGAGAGAGCACGTTTTTCTCTCGGCAATTTGAGACGTGCTGAGCCTCGTTCATTTAGATTGTATTACGAGTCGGTTCACAGAGCTACAGTGGACAGATTGCCCTTCTTACACATAACGCTATACTTCTCATGCTGGCTGTGCTCATTTACATGTAGACATCCATCCCCCAGACTGTCGGCGCAGATGGATGTTGTGTGGCTTGGAAATAAATATTTTTTTAGGCTTTATTCATCTGGAGAAATTTTGCTGCACAATAATTTTTCAGCACTGCCCTGCTTTATATTGAAGCAGCTTTCAATACAGAATATTCACACCAGTTCAGAGCTTGTCAGTAAGGCTGCAGTGTTACTGTAGGTCCTTGAGCAGCATTACTGGAGTAATAAGTAGTGTAGTGCCTTGATCAACGACACATCAGTGGTAGAGGCAACAACTGTTTTCCTTCTAGATTTCCTGAATCTTTCCAGGGATACCTGTTGTAACTGATCCCTCTTGCAAGCTATTTCCTTTTAAATCAATCACATTTAGAAGCCAGTTATTGCTGTAGCACTCTCTCTGTGCTTCATTCTGTCAAACCAGACTGCTTGATTGCTTCTGTCCTGAATCAGAAGACGTGGAACCCCCGGTGCTGAATCCATGCTGATACAGTATCTGTGCAGCAATATATTTCAATTTATTTTGATATCTTTAATATTCAAGAGAAAATTAAATGTATCAACATAACATTTGATTGTTTCACTTATAGCAAACATAGCTCGCTACTGAAAACATGATTTGAACATAGCTAAGCTACCTAACAGCCACTGAGAAATGTGGTATACAGTAGTAGCATTGCTACATGTAGCACCACTACTCCCCAACACTGCTCCATGTTGTGTCCTATAGCTGCTGTAGTTACATTTTTGACATTTGGTACATATCTGATTCATTTGAAGGACCAGTGTGTAGGATTTAGTGACATCTAGCACAGAGATTGCATCCTGACTCAACCAAGTGTGAAGGAGAAATGATAGCATTTGGTTTGTACGTTTTGGGCCGTAGAAACATGAAGGTTCAACATGGTGGCCCCTGTAGAACATGACCCGCTCCCTCTGTAGATAAAAATGTCTCATTTGGAGGTAACGAAAACACAACTATTCTATTTCTACCAATAGATCCTCCTAAATGTTACACACTGGACCTTTAATCCAAATTATGATTTTAACCAAACCTCAAGCGC